CGTTGAAGAGTTAAGTTCTCCGGTTATGGGTAAACGATCATGAATCTATCAATAGATGACTAAATAGTAGAAAGAGGATAGGAGTTTTGGTCCTTTTGGGCTTCGATCTCAATGGAGAACGTGACCTATCCTTGCCACCAATCGCTGACGTCAAGACCCAGCAGAGACCGTAAATCTGCAACAAAACACGGTGTGCGAACGCAGGAGCTAGCAGAGCTATCTAACGGTCTCCGACGGCTTCGACGATGGTGTGTTCGCTCAGGCAAAGTCTCCTGATATTTACCTCCCAACTTTCGAGTCCGTCGGTTCGCGGAGTTTGGCGAGTCTGATAAAAGAACTCGGCGATTCCGGTATTCCCATCGATTCCATCATCTACGACGGATTCATGCCGTGGGAGCTCGACGTCGCGAAGCGGTTCGGGATACGGGCGGCGGTGTTTTTAACTCAGTCTTACGCTGCTAATAGCATACACTACCATATGAGTCGGGGTTTTCTGAAGCTGCCGGTTGAGGGACCCTAAGTTTCGCTTCCCGGACTGCCAGAGCTTAAAGTTTGGGAGCTTCCGTCGCTTGTTTATCATCATGGATCGAACCCTGCCTGGTACGATGTCGTCGTCGGCCAATTCTCCGACATCGAAGAAGTTGATTGGGTTCTAGTTAACACCTTTTACGAACTGGAGAAAGAGGTACGATATTGTTTCAATTATTTCAGTTTAGCGAATTTTAGTTAATTTCCTTAAAGTCCTTTTAGTTAATCTTTTTGAATTAATTAAATAATTCATATTTCAAGTCAAGGTTACATAAATTAAATTTGTCCAACTCTTTCATAAATCAACGGAATAAAAATAAAAATGTTATTTTTATGGGTGTTTTTACTCGTATCTAACCTCTTAAACATATTTAACGGTCTAATATTTTTTAATTTTATTTATAAATATAATACTCAAACATAATTTTGTAGATTCTTGATAAGTAATTAAGATTTTATTTAATTTTTTGGTACATAGATTTTATTTTAATTTTAATTCAAACGATTAAATTTATTAGATTAGATCTTATTATTAGCTTATGTGCTATTAGATCTTAATTCAATTGATAATTGTTAAATTTATTAAATGGGATATCGTTATTAGTTTATATTTTATTCTTATTTTAAACAAAATAATAGTCGTTAAAATTCAACTGAAAGAATTAAATCTACAATTTATGCTTAATACAAAAACTGATATCAGATTTGATTTAATTAATTAAAATAGTGTTTAATTTATAATTAATAATTTAAATTTACGAAGTAAATAAATTTAAAAAATTAATTCAATTAAAAAAATAATTTAATAATACAGAGGTTAATTAAAAACTTTAACCATTTTAAATATATAAAAATGACGAAATCGCTAATAACAGATAACAACTTCAATTACTAAAAAAGATAACAACTTCAATTACTAAAAAAGGACAAAGTTGTGGATACGATCTCACCTTCCTAAGTGCTATATCTATAAATAAAATCAAAAGTGTACTAAATCAATAAATATTTTTGGCTATTGTACAAAATCAATAAATATTTTTAGAGGGTTATATTGGGATAAAGATTATATGCTTATGGATTGAGTTGCGCTCGTAACTAATTCAATTAGAGTCATATATTTGTTTATCCGGTATCTAATTTAATCTGATTTAAAAAAAATGATTGGAAAAATGATTTGATTTTTAGATAAAAATTATATTTGATATACTTATATATAATTCTTATTTTATTTGATAAATAAAAATTTAACTAAAAATATATAGAGATAAAATATTTATTTAATTAGATAATAATATATCTCAATTTAATTAAAATTGATATTTGAAACGAGTCACGTTTTATATTTTTAAAAAACTTTTATTTTTTTTATAAAAATTATTTTTTTTATAAAAATTATTTTTTTGTTAAAAATCTATTTTTTAAAAATCTTCATAATATCTCAATAACCTTCTGTTCATGCCATGGGATTAAATCCAAACAACCCCGCTGCTAAAACTTTTAGGGGGATGTTCTGGGATTAAATCTCATAAAATGTTACCCTATTTCACACGTTCAACTTTTTAGGGATTTATGACTTAGAGATTTAAGAGTTTATAAATTTAAAGTTTTAGGATGATGACAAACAAAATAGTCGATCAATTGATGGCCAGTGATTGGTGGTGGTCATTCGACAATGAAGATAATAATTGGAGATGATCGAAAATGTAGATAATAATTGGAGATGATCGATAATAATGAAGATGATAATTGGAGATGATCAACAATGACTGGAAATGAAGGTTGAAACGAGGGATTCATCAAATCTAAGAATTAAGACGCGTACAACTTAAGACTAATTCATATAATATTATTCGGATAGTATCCTAACAAATATTTTGTTGTTGTTGGTTTTGTTATACTAGGTTGCAGGTTGGATGTCAAAATTTTGTAAACTCGGGGCAATCGGACCAGCCCTTCCATCCATGTACTTGGACAAAAGGCTCAAAAACAACAAGGATTATGGTCAAAATCTCTTCAACCCCAACACATGCACATGCGTGAGACGGCTAAATACCAAACCAAATGGCTCAGTGGTTTACGTCTCATTTGGGAGCATGGCTGAGCTCGGTGCCGAACAAATGACCGAGGTAGATTGGAGTCCAAGCTACCCCATGATTTCAACGACAAGACTCAAGAAAAGGGTTTGATTGTCAGATGGTGCCCGCAATTGGAGGTCCTAAAACACGAGTCCGTTGGATGTTTCGTGAGCCATTGTGGGTATGTTGAAGATGTTTGGGAGATTGGGATCGAGCTTTGGGTGACGAGAAAGGTATTGTGAGAAGAGAGATTACAAAACAATGCATAGATGAAGTAATAATGGGAGGAAAGGGGCAAAGAGATCAAGAAGAATTCAATAAAGTGGAAGAATTTGGCAATAAAGGCAGCCGATCATGGTGGAAGTTCAGACAACAATATTTTAATCAAAACTTAGATCCGCATAAGTCAAGTGAAAACCAATTATAGGGCTATCAAAATGCATAACCATACAAGCACACTGGAAATTGCTGAAATAGAATTGATACTACAACAAATGAAACAAAATAAACTATGCAGAACACAACTTATTACTTTCAGAAATCATTGAACCAAACAAGTATGCAAAAGATATTTTAAAAGAAAATATTCTGAAACTCTTCAGCTCAGGTCTCCATAAATTTTCAGCATATATTAGCTCAGGAGAACGAAAGTTTTTTACAGTTAACATCATCAGAGTAGCAGAAGCTTTCAAATCCTAATTCCAGAAGCCTCAAAAAATATATATGTATAATATATATGCATATATACATTTGTACAAAATCAACGGATAAAAATGAAGTCTCCTCAGTTCAGGTCTCCAGAAATTTTCCGCATGGACTTCCTCGGAAGAACGAAAGTTTCTATTTTCAATCATCCTCGGAGATAAACATGAAAAACATCAATAAAAGAGAAAGAAAAGTATAAAATTTATATTAAATAGCCGAAAAACAACAATTTCTCTTCAGCTCAGGTCTTCTTTTCAGGTTTCTTAATCGATTTCTTTTTCTCTCGGAAGAACAAAAGTTAAAATTTTCTAAAAAGGTTTGGGTCACCATCAGATTCAGAGACCATTTTTGTTATCAATTTAAAACTTGATACGCTAAAATTCTGACAGTTAGAGAAAGGCGAAATCCTAGCTTTGGAAAACAAAGAAAATTTATGAGAAGAGCAAAAAGAAAAATATTAAGAAGCTTAAAGAAGAGAGCTACATGATTAGCAATCCGCCGATAAGTTCTGATTTGAGGAGAAACGGAGTATAAAGCCGTTTTATAGACCTCGACAACCAACTAACAAAACCCTAGACCTTTCAAATTAGGGTTTTATGTTATTGGGCTTGAGCGTCAACTACATCGCTTAATAATAGGGTTTGAGGTGAGTATTTGATTGTGTAGAATTTTTGAATTGGTCTAAGTTTATGGGCATTATTATAATATTTATTTATTTTAATTAAGTTAAGTTTGTAAAATTTGAGTCTAGTCAGATTGAATATATTTAGTTAATTTTTTTTTGAATTTAAATATGATTATTTATAATATTATGATATTGATTGATTCTAATTTAAATTATTATCTCTAACTATACACGATTTACATATATATTTATTCATATTCTTTTTTCATATGTGCAAGTAAGAGTTTTAATGTGATTTGTTCAAATAATAAAATTTAAAATAAAATGTCAATGATAGTGCAAGAGCAAAGAATTGGTGAGAGAAATAATTTGTATAAAATTATAGTTAGAGGATAAAATTAAATAAAATGCAAAGTTGAGAGATGAATTTAAAAATGAGTAATTCTCTATAAAAAAGAAAAGAAAAAGAATTGAAGTTATATATTTATCTTATAATGGATAAAGGAATATTTGGTTCAAAATTAGTAAAAGAAAATTATATTTAAAATGAAAGAAGAATCGAAGATGTATGATACCTGATTTTTTTTCAGGTCAATGAATTGACGGATTTAATTAGATAGATTGGATCAAAATTTTTACACACCCCTAAATGTAATAGGGGTCAACCTTCCTCTAACATATTCGTGTAGATCATTAGTGGTCTAACTCTCGTATCGATTTAGTTGTTTACAAGGAAGACAATATCTCTAAAATAACTCTTCTACGTAGGAGAAGAGATATAACAAGCTTAAATAATTTAAAATTTAAGTATTATTTATTTTAAAATTTAATTGATTTTTATTCATCTATAATTTTGAACTTTGGGTTGACTGATAGTGTTGACTTCATTAGTAAATTGGTCTTGAAGTATTAAATTAGATCGAAAAATATCTATTCTCAAACTCAAATGAAAGATGTAGCACAACTAAATCAAAACTTAACCAAGCATGAAAATCACATTCATTCTTTTACTAAGTTAAAAAAATGTTTTGCAAACTCAAACTTTAAAAATAAAGCTAAGCTAAATTCAAGCCAACTTTCGAACTACAAATGTCAAGCTCAAGCTTCTTACAACTTTAGCTCCATCATCCCCACCCATAAGTAGAATATATATATATATATATATCGCAGAAATTCCAATGAATTCCAATCCCATGTAACAGTATATTGTACAACAGTGAAACAGTAAGATATTGAAGGAAAATCAAAGTTCAAAAGCAATCATTTCATATCATTCTAATCTTTCTTATCAGTTGTTAAATCAACTGGAGCTATTGAAGGTTCCGCCATGGAAGATTCTTCAAGATGGAGCTGTGCAAATTCATTGATGATCCTTGTTCTCTCCTTGTAAACAGAATCGTTTTTTTCTTCCTCGGCTTTTTCGACCTTCTCCTTTGTCAACACGCCTACGTCTTCCGCTGCCTTCGCAACTGCATTGAATGCGTTTGAAAGCCATGAAGCTCCTGTAGATACGTAGCGGTTGCTCATGATTGCAGTTCCTGCAATACTTGCCTTCTGCTCGGCAACAGAGAAGGCGAACTTTGTCTTTTCAGATACTTGGTATCGCTCGTCCATCTCTTTCATCTTTTCGTTTACCACAGCTGTTCCGATGCTTAGCTTTTCACTCAGACCCACTTTCTGATCGAAAGAAGTTACGGCAGCAGAGGCATTCAATGTCAATTGATGCTGTTCATCAAAAGCTTTTGCCTGGGCTATGGCATCCTTTCCCAAGACAAAGCCCTTGGCAAGCATGGTGCTTACCATATCTTCAGCCTTTTTCACAGTAGAATCGGTAACAACTGGATTTTTCTCCTTCAAATAAGAAGATAGCACAATGATGACGAAAACAAAAGACAGTGTATATGCAATAATTCACTTCTTTCAGTCATATTCTTACGAATGCATACAAACAAATGATGCACTCCTACTCGTCATGTTTCTTGAAGTTCTTGTGACTAACAGCCATGGTCAGACGCATATCCAAACATGGGTTTGGAGATATAACCCTCCCAAACTCTCCAAATGCATGAAAAAAACTTCTTAAAAAATTGAACATAATCATGTCGTACACATACCCATATCCAGAACTTGCCCCGAGTCTGAGTGACATAGGGAAGAAACATGCCTTTTCCTATTGTGAACCGGGAGAAAAACAGGCAATGTATATATACAATTACACACACACTAGAAGACTCCCAAAAGATCAGAAAATTTCCAGCTGTTGAGAATCGGTGCTAATTCAGTTTCTAAGTTCTTACAATGGATTGAAAACAGGCTACCGACAATATATGTTACCAATTTCTAAGTTTGGTGGTGACAGTATACAATTACAAACCTTGCATCCTGGCATTTCAGTTTACTTGTCCTCCATTGAAAGGCTTCACAAAAGATGCATTCGAGGATTCGAAGGAATAAAAGCATGTATTTTTGAAGAACCGGTTGACAACAATCGGTTGAAATACTACTAACCCTAATGTTATTATTCTTTGTTACTCTGACTCAGGTGTAAGCGACTAATATGAGTATGTGTTTGACACGGTATATTCAATATATTACCAAGTTTTTTCATGTATTTGGAGGATTCGTGTAAGGTTATATACCAATCCCCATGTCTAAATATATGTTGAATATAGATATTTCAAGCAAAAAGGAAGAGTCGGAGAAACATAGATATTATTATGAGAAAATAACCTCAGTGACCAAAAATGTAGGATATGGTTTAAAGGAGGAATTTTACCATGTTTGATAGGAGAGCTTCAGGGGGTAGCTGATAATCCTCAACAGGTGTGATATTGACAGAAAGATCAACTATTTTGGCTCCCTGAAGCAATAAAAAAGTACATAACTTCATTCAAAACAAGCATTCGTTTTATCAACAAAATAAAGGCATTCAAATTGAATAAGTTGCCAGAAAGCAAGTAAGCCATGTAATTGAAGCTCGATAACTAGATGTCATTGTTAGGCTTTGATGGTCAAAAGCGGCCACACGAGTGGAGTAATTCCCATTCACACCAATGCAGTTCATTCTTAACTTCTAATATATGACAACAGGCAATGGGGATGAATGATGGTTAAGTCACAAAAAACAGACCTGGAATGTTTTAATCAAGTTTGACAGGTGTAACATGTAAAATATAATTATTTTTCCGAAAGTTTCAACTTTCAAATTGCCTGTCCGTTTTGAATTAAGGAAGCATTAACGCTGATAAGAGTTTTGCTAGGTGATACTGTTGATAAATGTAAACTTTGATGAGGAAACATAAGCATAAAAAATAACTTAATATCACTAACATACAGTCAATAGTATTGCTGTATCTGCTCCTTGCGTATCCTTGAAGGTAACATAAGCAACCTGAGCATTTTCAGTCTCCCTGCAAAATTCATAACAATCTTAAGGATGAGTTTTCGAAACAAATCAGTTGGACTATAGCTATGTTACTGGAACAAAAGTGTGGATGTTGAACAAGGGTATGTATCTAACACGAAGTTATTCGATTTCTTTAAAGATTCAATGTATTTGAAGGGTCCTCAGAGGTTCACATCCCCATACAATGTCAGGAAATGTGTCAGGACAAGGGTATTTCAAGAAAAATGAAAAGCCAGAGCAACATTGGCACAGAGCACCCACCTTCGCATTTCAACATACTGAATATCACCAGAGAAAGAAAAGAATTCTTTGATATCCCTCTCAGAAGCAGCTAGAGAAATATTACTGACCTGAACTGTTTTTATCTGTACAGAGAAAACGAGTTGATAAATATATGTATTTAGTATTATTTTCCTATAAACAGGTGGTAGAGTTTGAAAAAAAAAACACCAGAAGCAGGCTTTTACTTTTTCCATGTGTCCATCAAATCACATACGTTCAACTTAAAGCTTCGATTCATTATTTTCAATTAAACGAACATATAGCACAAATACAAAGCTATTTATGGAGTCTTCGGATTCTAATGCCACGGGATATCACATATTCACAATAAACATACTCATCAAACATTTCAAGATAACACTTATATGATACCATGAAAAATGGAAACAAGGCACAACTTTATGTAAAAGCACCATTTATAGAAACCAAAGGAGATAAAATAAGTAAACGGGTACAACAGTTAGCTCCATTCAAAGTTGAGATAAAATTTCTACTCTTTTTCAGCTCAAAATCTCATGAGACGAAAGAAAAAGTGTAAGCTTATTTCACAGCCATTTCAGTACTATATTATCATCAACAACATGCAGAAGTAACTGATAATCAGAAGAGGTTTATTGTTAATAACATCAAAAGTATTTTTTCCTCACATTTGAGACACTGATTGTCCAATTTGTTGTTGCCTTTGTCTGAGGTACTGCTCCAAGACTAAGATTTGTATGGTCCGGTGAAAGCTGCATATGAAATCATAGAAAAAGAGTAAAAATAAAAAAGAGAAGCTCTACTTGGCAAAAAAAGTAACTGCAAATTATGTAAGCATAAATGGATGAATGAAGGACATTGATATACTAAATGAACAAGATGAAAGTAAAGAAAACCAGGATTCATGATCAAAGCGCAACAAATAAACCCGAAACCACAATTCTTTACTGTTACAATGGGGTCCAAAAGCATAAGGAGATTTTACTCATTGGTGCTGATTGATGGTCTGTGGACACTTGTTCATCTCCATGAGACTTTTGGATTAATAGTTTTATGTTACATCACTTTGAATTCATGCAATCTGTTCAATTGTGACCTAAAAATGCAATCCCATTCTCCGGTACCACAGGATTCATAAAAAGTAAAAGCCTAAAAAGAAAATATTTCTCTTCCTAGTACAAAAGAAAATTCTCATTGCCACATAAACAGAGCATTATAACATCAATTGCAACCAAATCATATATCTAAGTATAGAAAGGACATTATACACAACCATTTTATGCTTCCTGCACAAATGAATGATTTAAAGAAAAACACTCTCACCAATAATTTATAGCAATCCTATCTGACCCTACAAATTAAAACTAAAGATTATAGAAATACTACTTCAAAGACTATTAAAAAAGAACCATAAAATAAAATGCATAGACTAGAAATAGCATGAAATGTAAGACAAAGCCACAACTAACAATAACTTGACCATCAAACCATAAAACTTGAAGAACACTTTACAATCATTTTGGTTTCCAAGAGAACTAAATAAAGTATCCCAACTGAATCTTATAATTGAAGTAGTTTTCAGAACCCAAGAACTACAGTGAGATCAATTTTAGAAATCCAAAGTGGCATTTTGGTCTAGTAGAGATCAAGTCAGGAATCTAGCTTTTATAGTATCCTTTTTCCTACATTTTCCCAGATAACAAACAGAGCAACACCCACATTTCTCTTTCAGTTGACCCTTTTTTACTTCTAAAAGAACAAAGAATCATGGATCTAACAAAGCAAATGGTCAAATTCATCAAAAAAATAAATTAAAAAAACTAAAGAAATTAACTCACCGACATTTGCAGATTGTACAAAGAATTCCCAATACGAAGATTACAAGGAATACTGGATTGATTGGATTTTGATAGGAAGATTGAGGGCTTAAATGGGGGCCGCAGCGTCTTTATTCACCTTAAATACGCGGGCTAGTTTCTTCGAAGCACGTTGAGTCTTGCCCCTTCTTTTTACTTTCAACTGTAATAAAAACTGGATAATCTCTGTTATTTTTCCTTCTCAAAAAATAAAATAAAATTTTATTTTTAATTATTTTGTAAAATCCGAATATAAATAGTTGAGAATTACAAATTGAAAAGTTGATGGATGTTTGAGTTGTTAATTTTCAAGCTTATCACATAAACTAGTTTACGATTTGTTTGTTTGTTCTTACTTTTATTCGGTTAATTTGATATAATTAAATATTATCAATTTGTATTTCTAATTTTAACCAATTTGTTTGTTCTTACTTTTATTCGGTTAATTTGATATAATTAAATATTATCAATTTGTATTTCTAATTTTAACCAATAATTTCAAGTTTTCTTTACATTTTTAGTATTTGTTTTTAAGTTAGTATAGAAAAAATATATAAAAAAAAACAAATTAATTCAATAAAATATATTCACTTATGAATGAATTCCAATTGTTTTATAGATTTATTCATAGATGATTCAATTTAATTTGAAATATTATTTAAACATATACATTAATTAAATTAAATTTTAAAATGATATAAAAACAGATTTTTGAATATATGTAGTAATTTAGACTCCTAGACATGTTATAAATCACCATGGCTGGTGGACACTAAGTTTGGATATGAATAAAGTTAGATGGACATTTTTTTTGGGGGAGGTTTTAATGAAGAAGATGTAATTTGATTTGATTTAATTTGGATTAAGTGGATAATTGAGTGTATGAGTAGTGTTTCTTATACTTTATTAATTAATGGTAAACATTATTTAGAGTAATTCATCCATATATCACCCTCTTTAAAAAGATTAATTCTTAAAATATTATTTATTTCCGTGTTTATCATTAGCGAGAATCTCTGGGTAAGTAACAATCTTGAAATTTAAAAGTTTTTCGGATGATTACTTATTTTATTAATTTTATTTATTCAGAAATTTTATTTGTGTTCATATTTTATTATGTGTAAAATTTTTATGTTGTTAATATATATCAAAATTAATGGAGTGCATACTTTAATTTTTTATAAATAAAATAATTGATTTTATGATTTTTTTGTCATTATTTTTTTGAATAGTCTAAAGAGATTATAATATAATATTTTTAGAGAATATTTTTTAATCACTGACAACAAATATATTCTCTACAAACATAATTATTTAAACTTAAAATTTATAAAAAAAATAATAATACTTCCTCCTACCACTAAATTAGAACAATGATTTTTTTATCATCGATTTCGGGTATTAAAACCAGGGATGGTACAATCTCCTTCTATTTGTTTATGATATAAAAGCTGTAAAATTATTCCATCAATTATTTATTTTAAATTTTAAAAAGGAAATTATATTTTAAACTCCAAAGTTATTATCACTTTGATTTTTGGAGAATGTTTTCAATTTAATTTTATCTATGAATTCAATCGTGATATACATTATCCAATTTATTTGTTTTATATTAAGAAAAATCTAAATAACACTCTAGAAACGTAACGTATAATATTAATTACTTCCGACAAAATTAAGAATTTTTAAGAAAATATTTGAAAAAACATGCTGATATTTTAAAATTTAAGATTTGTTTAATTTTTAAAGTTGTTATGCAATTTTTAAATTAATATATATAGTATATCATATCACTTAGAGTGTCAAATGATTTTCTTTATAAATAAAATGAATTAAGATAATATTTCAATTAGAAAATTGAGAAACAATCCTTTAAATCAGATGAATCATAAACATTTTTTTTATCAAATTTATATTCATATCCCATACTTTCTTTAAATTCTAACAACATAGTCATGACGAAGCATGAATTACATCTAAATGCACATAAACGTCAAGAAACTCAATAGATTAGATAAAGTGTTGGGCGTTTACTCATCCGCCAAGTAGAAGATTGTGGGTTTTTTAGGTTCTATAATTTCGACAGTCCCTTCTAACATCTTAGCCACCTTTCCCATTGAAGGCCTTGCCTCCGGCCGGTCTTGGAGGCACCACATCGCTGTCTTCACCATCCGATCAACCAAATCGAAATGCAGTCGATTATCGAAACAGTGCTTGATTTGCCGATCCAAGATGTCCTCCACTTTCATTTCTTTGAACGCTTTGTCGAATGCCCACCTCGGGAAATACCAATCTTCACTATCTATCAATGAGCCTTGCATATCGAAGCTCCGAACCCCACTCACAAGCTCTAATAAAACCATCCCGAAACTGTAAACATCGGCCTTGGGCGTTATGGGGTCCATTTTGAGCCACTCTGGTGCCATGTAACCGCGGGTGCCTCGGACCATTGACATGCTGACCATGTCTTCCTTTTTCCTCAGCTTTGCCAATCCGAAATCTGATATCTTGGGGCAGAAGTCATCTCCTAGGAGTATGTTTTCTGGTTTGATGTCACAATGTAGCACCCATTCTAAGCATTCTTCGTGCAAATATGCGATTGCTCGCGCCACACCAAGCGCGATTCTGTATCGGATGTTCCAATCTAGAATCGGTTTCGGCACGTCGGTGTTTCTTGGATCGATCTCCACTATCTTGTCTAAAGATGGGGCCTGACTTGCAGGGAACAGGTATTTATCAAGAGAACCGTTAGGAACATACTCATAGACAAGGATTCTCTGGCCTTTTTCAGCACAAAATCCCCATAATCTAACCAAGTTCAGATGGTGCATACGAGCAATAATTGTCACCTCCGCCCAAAACTCCGCATCGCCACTGGTCACCTTTTTCAAACACTTCAAGGCAACAACACGGTGGTCGGCTAATTCCCCTTTATAAACATCGCCAAAGCCCCCTCTCCCGATCGGATTCGAGAAGTCACTGGTAGCTGCTTTGAGTTCTGCATATGTGAACCGTTTAGGCCCTCCTGCAGGCAAGAACTCGAGGCCGAAACTTCGAGCCATGTCTCTATACTTGATGTACTTCTTCAAGAATCCCCAGAAGAAAACAACACCAGCAATAAGCTCAGCAGCAAAAAGGGTACAAATTATCACTATATTTCGAACCTCTGTATTCGATTCATCGGGTGGTTCAGGCAGGCTTATATTAACACGACAGGTTGTTTCTAACAAGCTCGTCATACCTGTAAAATTCGATTCATCAGTTTCGGAATCATCGACTCTCAAGAAAAACGCAGCCTCGGTCCCCGGTGACCAGTATCCGAATGCCAAGCGATCGATCTGAAGCACACAATAGCCTTTTCCATCGTATTTGAAGCCAAACCCCTTACAGTTTTGATCGGCAAGGCATTTCGATTGACAAATTGAGAAATTCTCAACTTTGAGATCTGTCTGATCTGATCCTCCAGAGAAGTTAACATAATCCAGCCGAAGAAACTTGGTTTCCCCGTGGTTCTTCCATGGAGTTTTCATCTCACATGAGTAGCTTTCACGATCACTGGTGTTTTGTTTGAAACCTGGTGGGCAAACGCAATAAGTGAGATCAGAATTCGAAGCATCGTTCATGCAAATCGCGTTATCCCCGCAGGTTCCATGAACAGTACACGTTTCATAAACAGCAAACCAAACAACACTCAATTCATTAGCTCTTCGGTCGAAGCTGTAAATCCTGAGATTCCCATCATCATCCAATGTTAATCTCCGTAGCTTGTTTCCTTCACCGAAATCTGAAGAAACCAAAGTAGCTCCAGTCTCTTGAGTCACCATTCCAGTTAGTTCAAGCATTATAAACGCATTACTAGTGCTCCAATATGAAGATGAACGAAAAACCAGGCTTTTCCAACCCACGAACCCGAATTTACCGTTCTTCGATTGCAATGTGGTCTCCTTGCTTCCATTCATTGTCTGGTTAGGCAAAATCGTATCCGTTGGATGATTGAAACTCTGCCAATTGCCATAAACAAGATTACCCGAATCCTCCAAGGTTAACCTAGTAGAATTCAGATTATTACCAGTCTCTGTAGAGTCCCACGGAAACAAGTTTTGGCCTGAAGAGTCAATTAAACGAAGAACACCATTGTCGCCGAGAACAAGGGAGGAATCATCGGTGACCGGAGATTTCGCGTCGGTTGACCAAACAATTGTGTTATAATTTCCAGAAACGTTGTGATACCAAATGGAGAAAATATAGCGATTTGGAGAAGAGTTTGCAGCCTTAAAACCAGCGGCGAAAACGTTGTTTTCAGAGATGAGGAGTTTGTTTTGAGTTGGGCGCCATGGGAAGTCCGAGAATGTGAAAGATCGAGCTTGTAGGGACAAAGATGGTGAAGTGTTTGAGAGAAGGAGAGTGAAGAAGAAGGAGAACAGGACGAGGAGAGACATGGGTATTGCTTGCTTTGTTTTGCTAATGGGGATATTTTTCTTATTGTTTGAACTTTGAATCATCACAGAGGCTGGATCAGGTTAAGGTGCTTTAATGGCGACTTTGATTGGCAATAACTTTTTCAGTTCTTCCACTGGTGCAAATGGGACGGGACCCTACTGCTTCATCTTTTGCCTCCTAGACAAAGGGCTTAACTTTACTATAGTCAAAATTTCACTTTGATCCTTTTATTATTGTTATTTTTTTATCATTTTGGCCCCTACACTATTAATTTGTATCATTTTAACTCCTGAATACTATTTTCAAGCCTACTTAAGATTTATTTTCTTTTCATTTTTCATCTTTCTCCTTCTCTCATCCTATCTTCTCATCCAATAAAAACAAACCTTATGGTTGTTGGAATCCAATGAGTTTTGAAGGTTGTTTTCTTATACTTTTTTACCTTTGAACTTTTAATTATTGTTAAATTGATTTATATATAACATAACAATAACAATATTGATAAATCTATGCAATCTATTTTGTTATTTTTAGCGTCATGAAAATAAAAAATAATTATTTTTTTATGAAAACACTATTTTTAATTATTTTTTTTATAATTTTAATATATTTTTTGGGTGGATCGATTGAAAATAACAAAATACATGATGTCGGTTTAACGTTTTATTTTTGATATGTTGTATTTAAGTTGATTTGATAAAAAAAAGTTCGAGGTAAAAAACTATAGTAAAAGTTTAAAGGCTAAAACAATAAAAGTAATGAAGTTGGAGGATAAGAAATGTTATTATGCCTAAAAGAAAGAAGTGTTGATTGTAGGCGGCTTTGACTAATATTACTACGGTTGGTTGGCTGTATCAATTTAATGTTTATCAATTGTTATGTGCTTTGTTCAAAGACTAGCATGTATCACAGAATCAACTTTTTATTAATGTGTTATTAAGTTAAACATTGAGTCTTAGTTAAATGTGTGCGTATAAATTTCTAATTGTTAATTGATATAACTGTTATATTTTATACATTAATTAATTAAATTAGTAAGAGTAAATAATTTTAATTAATCAAATCTATAATGATTAACGGTTACAGTCGTAGATTTTAATAAATAAATTATTATTTTATAAATATATCTTTTAAGGAAAAATAAAAGTATGATGATTGTTTTGTGTTTGTTAAAGATTTATCTTTTAAACTTTGATGGTGTATATTGTATTGAAATTTGTAATAGGATTAGTGATGATATATGTTGTGTTGCGTTGACTTTAAATTAGAACAACAATATGTAGCATGTAGATGTACTAGTTACAACGTAGTACCGTTTTGTTGATTTTTTTAATTAAGTATAAAATTTATGTTCATAATCATTCTATCTAATATTTATTTTTAAAAAGTTTAATATAATATTTATTGAAGAGATGGTTTCAATATGCAAACGAAAAAGAAATTTATAATAGAGTATAGGAAAACTTTATCATAATTCAAACATTAACTTTATTTGAAAAACTTAATATTTTATCTATTTAACCAATCGATAATTAATTGAAAATTAATAACAATATATAATTGAAAATTAACGAGAAAATATGGAAAATAAAATTTGATTTTTTATAAAAACCCTCAAATCCTAAAATATGGTGATACACAGAGAAGTTGAGCCCAGAGTTGCAAAATCTAAAACCCAAAAATAAACCTCTCGATTCCCAGACTTAAAATATCAAAGAAATTGATGATATCCGGAAGAAGGTTGTTTGGTTGGATTTTAGTCTCCATATAATACGCGCTTTCACTCCAAAAACAAAAACCCATACCCTAGATCGCTTTGATCTTGGCTTTTGATTATCCCAATCTTCACGTCATCTACTACACATGGCTAAAGCTAAGCAAGGACCCCGTTTTTCCAGTTCCGACTAAACCAAACCAACGCCATTTCCTAGTTTTTCTTTTGTTCTTCAGCTACCAATTTCTTTTCTCAGTGCAAATATTTTGTTAGATCGGCTTAACTCCATATATATATAAAGAGAAAGACCCAGTTTTTTAATTTTTCTTATCAGAATTGTACCTAGTTCTGAAGTTGGATTATTTTGAGTTAAAAAATAATTTTGTTTGTGATTTTACGTAATCACGCTGGATTCTACGAGAATTAAGCTAATTAGATCTGTTTTTCGTTATTTTTATTTATATATGCTGTTTTAGGAGTTTGAGTTTTTTTTTTTTTTTTGTGGGGGTTGTTGGTTAGGGAGTGTGTTTTTGTCCTCAATGGCAGTGCCATCGGGAAATGTAGAGTTCAACCAGAAACATAATCAGAATTGGTTCCCCGAATGAGCGTGATGGCTTTATCTATTGGTTGCGTGGTGAATTCGCAGCAGCCAATGCTATGATTGACGCCCTTTGTAATCATTTGCGTGAGGTTGGGGAAGCTAGCTTGCATTCAACAACGGAGATGCCATTGGAACCCCGTGCTTCATATGCAGCAGTTCTTTTCTATTGCTGAGGTTTCCTATGCTCTTCAACAGGTGGCCTGGAGATGTAGGCAAAGGCACTACGATCACACGAAAGTTGGGGGAAAGGAATTTAAAAGGCCCAACTTTGGCTTTAAGGGGCATAGGATAGATGTTTCCAAAGAAATACAGAACTCTGGGGTGGATTGTGATGGGGATTCGACTGTGTCTGCAGTTTCCGAGAGAAATGAGAAAGGGAGTGAGAAACACGAGGAATTTAATTCTTGTGTTGAGCTAGGGAAGGATGGGGATAAAGGTTCGGCTGTGACAGAGGATAGAAAAGGTTACAAATTGTTTCATGTTTATTGATTTCATATCTTTCACTTTCATTCCGGTGAACATTGGCCTCGATGGTGAATGATACCTTCTATTCTACAGCTGTTAGGTTTGGTTGTGATCGGATGGTTGAAATTTGTAGTTCTAAAGGATTCTGGGTTGGTGACTTTTACTTACATTGCGGTGAACGCTGAATTCGTCAGTGATCATTATCTTCTATTTATAGCTTGTTATATTTGGTTATTCGCTGTGAGGAGAAGATTGAATTTTGTACTTGGAAATGATTAGGGGTGTTGATATTGGTGACTTTTATATTCAAAATATTTGTTTGAAATACTTCTATTTTCATAGGCTTCCGAATATGTACATAAATTTCAATAGAACTGTGTTTGGGGGATTTCATATCAGTGCATAAGCCAGTCACCCTGGTTTTAATGATAACTCCCAGGGATTGTTCATTCGCACTTGATGTAGGTTCTTTGGATACATTTTCAAGGTTTTATAAGCCGTACAACGATGGATGGCAATTTCTTAATGTTTTTAAACAAGTTAACTATACCCATTATTAATAGTAAAAAATGTGTTGTACTTGACGGTCTATCTTTTGGGCCTTACATTTGTATTTCTTTTTTGGGCTTTGAACCCAGATACTGGTTCTAGACGACATGCTGATAGCAGCTTAAAAAGGTCAGAGAGTTCAAAGAAAACTACGCCTAGAAATACCGAACCTGGAAGTGAGGATGTAAACGGTGGATGCACATCAAACTACAAAGGTACATCCTTTTACTTTGGTGATGTGTTGCTTTTAACTTATGTTACATGGACTTGGCTACAACTATCTATTAGGGGTATGTATTTGAATGCCTGACTCTCCTTTCATCCGAAGTTTTGTGGTCATGAAGTCAGCTAATAAGTGTCCCTAAAAACCATATAGATCTCCAAATCAAGGCTGCAATGGAAGCTTAGATGAAACCAGCAATGGAAGGGCTGTGATGAATGAAGAACACCAATGTAATGACAACAGTGTCAAGTAAATCTGCTAACGCAGTTGAGAGAGAGAGAGAGCAGATTTCTTGAACGAAAGGTGGTAGGCTGCGAGCTGCAATGAGTTTAAAAGCAAATGTATAGATCGGCAACATTGGAAACTTTTTTTGAAGTTTCATACCAGCAGAGGGGAGGGAAAATCTCTTTGTAATCCTTCATGTTATTTTTTAGAGGTTTTCTTTTGTCATCTTATGGCTACAACTCTTAGAAACTCCATTTCTTATTTAACTTTTGTTCTTAATATCTGGTTTACAGGGTTTCTTATCTACATATCTGTTCCATTTGATTTTGGATTTTATTTATTATAGATGAATTTCAATCATGATCACTTAATTATACATTAATTTTGTTCCAACCATCGATTTTCGCAAGAGATTAGGCAATAAGGCGATCAAACCTGAGTCTGTGGAGAAGCATATACACATCTTATTGTAATTAGTGGCAGAAAAGAAGGATGTAAAAGCTATTACGTGATGATTTGGACCTAAGATTTTAAAAGAGGGGGCATGCGCTTTAATCGCCAAGTTAAATCACATATTTGTAGTGATTTATAATATTTCATATATAGATACAGGAGTACCTAAACTATTGAAATAAATCTAATAAATGATATATTAAATTTTAATTAATACAATACTCAAAATAAAAATGACATTAAGATTTTTATATTTTAAATTTATAGAATATTTATTATTTTTTTCTTTTCCATATTTTTTTACAATGTCATATATAATCATTAAAAAGGACTTTTTTAACTAAATTAATAATTTTAATTTTTTAAAAAAAATATACAACTCATTTATTAGAGTAAATGAATTAAAATTTAGAAAATATCTTTTAACCAAGTGGTGGCATATATTACCATCTAATTGGAGATTAAATTTATTAAATTAAAATTATGAATAAATTAATAGAATGTGTAAATTTTGAAGTCTAAATATATAATTATATTAATTTTTAACTATTAAATGAGCTCCACCGTTAATTATTAATGATTGGTGGCTTGATTAATAACACGTAATAATTAAATGATCTGATTGATAAAATTGAAAGTTTGGTAGTCAAAATAAAATCCGACCATAATTAAGTGATCATGACTATAATTCACCCTTATGTAAAGGATAATAAAAAGCCATACATTATGAATGTATGGTTAAGGTTTAATAGAAAATATAGTTGAAAAGCATAAAAATATATATTTATGATTATAATACAAAGTACCATCTTTAAAAAAATATATAAAATTATGAAATTTAAATTAAGAAATATTCTAAGATTACTATTGAATAAACATTTAATAGATCTCTGAATTTCATAGAAAGTCATGTCATATTTTTAAGGATTTTATTATTCGATTTATATTATTTTCAAAATTTAAATTCTTGAACGTAAGGAATTTAGAGTGTTGGAAAGATATTTGCAGGGTTATATTTTATAAGTTATTTTTAAAATATTTAGAGGATTATATTCTTATGTTTATAAATATATTGGACTGTAGAACTAAATATGAATATTTTAATAAAAAAATTAACCTGGAATTCACATAAAAACTTATAGAAAAAGGAAGTTGACGTAAAAATAAATGAAAAAGAATCCACTTCATAGTCAAAAAAATTTCATGTTGACAAAAACATGAACACTCATTTGTAAATAAATAAAATACTTGGAGATAAAACTGAGAAATCTAATGAAATCTCCAAGATTACATTATTTATAGACTCTGCAAAAAAATATATATGTTTTGAATTTTTTTTTTAAATTTTCTTCTCCTGATTAATGCAAGCTTTTTCTAAACTGCAGAATAGAGCAATTTAGAGATCTTCCAATCGTGCAAAACATTGCCATCAACATCATAGAACAAAATCATGACGTCTCTCTCATTCATCTCCACTGACATGAAACCTTGTCCGTCGTAAAGGAACTTGACGGTGTCATCAATATCGTCTTCGGTTTTAAGGACACCCCTCCATGCTTTCGACCCTCCTCCGCTCGTTAAGTATTGGATAGGACTGCGTTTCCAAACACATCATTCATATTCAAACAAATCAATTTTGAGTTGCATTGTAGGTAGGGTTGCATTAGATTCAATTTGGTTTGGTTTTTTAATAAAAGATGAATCAATTCGCATTATGCATTTTTCTAAAAATAAAATTAAAACTTTTGGTTCGGTTTTGTAGTTTTTAACTATTCATTATTTTTCAATCTCAACATAAAAAATAGCAAACTTCACACTTAAACTCAGTGCATATTCTATATAATTTTCTAAAATCGAATCTGAAACCAAATGACATAAAAACCGAATTTTTTTGTTTGATTTAATTTAATTTTGTGATTTTTAACTATTCACTGTTTTTTAAACTTAACATAAATAGGAAAACTTTACCCATCAATGCTAGTGATGTGCCCCAAACAGTGGTCGTGCCCATTCATGTAAACGTCAACATTGTTTTCCTGAAAATATTTAGATGGAATTAAAACAAATTGGTAAAGAATTAGTGTTAATCTCATCTCAATAAATTCAACTCGATTCGTATTTGTTTTAAACAAGTTGATTAAATTACCTTAAGTAGTGGAAGTAAGAACTTGACAAGCTCGGTAGTGTCGCCATGGTGGCCAAGACTTTTAATCGCATGGTGACCAACAACAAACTTCCATTTTGCAGTTGAGTCTCTCATTTCCGCTTTCAAATCCTTCAGGAGAGTAGCCAGGTAAGTTTTGCGAGGCTGTACGCCTTCCCAGTCATACGTATGTTCTTCTGGCTCGATGAAGTACTTGTCCACGAACGGAGTCGTGTCCAGGAAGAAGATATCAACAATTTCTGGAAACAGAAGTAATTTTCATAATCAGTTATCTATTTTCGTTGTTTAATCAATTTTTCTTATTCAATTTACCTGTTTTTACAGCAAACGATCTCATGCAAATCCATCGTTTGTCGACACTGGGTAGAATCGGGCCGAGTTGTGCCTCAACATTGCCTCTATAATCATGATTTCCTAAAACTGCACATTTGAAACCCTAATTTAAAGAGAGAGTGAGAGAGAGAAGGAGGTTGAATTTCGATTAAAGACTTACCGTTATACCACTGCTTATGCAAGCTCTTGGCGGTGTAAATATTGGTGAAAGATTCTCTAAATGCTGGATCATACACGCTTGTTAAGCCATTGTCGTAGAAATTATCACCCGTTGAGATAACGAAATCTATATCTAGTTTCTCTCCAATCCTTCCCATCTGTTTAGTTCAATCAATTGAATTGAATTTCTAAACCATTGCGTTGATCTAATTTCTTTAAAGAGAAAGAAAAATATACCTGAAAAGCGACTTCAGATTGATTGTAAAGTCCTCTTCTTCCCCAATCTCCGATAACCAGGAAGCTAAGCGACCCATCCGTTTTGACGGAGTGTTCAATGGTTGTAAGCTTGGCGAAGGTTGGGACAAAGAATGCGCAAAAGGCCACCGTTAAACAACAGGAAAGGTCGAGCATTGGTTTGGTTGGGAAACCGGACGCCATGGCTGCCGCCGTTGGTACCACCATGGCTGTTAAAAAATGGATTTCAAAGAGGCTTTTCAAAAGGAAAGGATTTATGACTTATTGGGATAAATAATTTATTTATTTTATTAAAAAGATACAAGTTAAAACTGCTGTGGAGAAATTGGTTGATCTGATGCCATTTATATAGTTTAGTGTTTGCTGAGATTGTAACTGGCTAGCCGTTTTACAAGGAATTTCCCTCTCCTCTGAGAAAGTCGTGGCTGCTCTGATTTTTATCCCAAATCATCGGATACCACATAAAACAACAGTCATGACTGATGAATATCTCCAACATCTGATATTATTATTCGACCAGTGATCATGAATGATATAAGATTATGCGGATACTCAATAATATCTCAATACATGTACAATATGATCAATGTGATATACTCTTTAAACGAGTAAATTTAGCTGTATGGGCATGGTACTATTATGATGACATGTTCGTGTAAGGTGATATGCAAAGTAAGCCTCTGATGTATTTCTAATTATGCTTCTTTCCACGCTTATTTAATTGGTTTAAACAATGTTAATTAATGTGTATGCTTCGATGATCATACTCATGTCATTTTGTATGTTTATGAATTACATAAAATATAATAAAGTAGATGTATATCATTGGACTTGTAAATTTTAGCGTTCAAATTATTTTTATACATAAACTAATAAATATGTGTTCATGTTAGAGGAGCATCATTGACGAAAGATTTTCAATATCTCTTATTCAGAATACATTTTTGTTCAAAGTAAAATTTATTTATTTATTTTAAATAATTTAGGGTTATTATATGATAGAATTTGTTTATAATCTTTCTTAGCCAGCAAAAATATACATACACTCTGCAAATGCAGCTGGTCGAACCAAGACCTATATGGAGAACAATATTTCCTTAACCACTAAGATTGTTTAATGGGATCTTCAAAGTAAAATGTAAAGAAGATTAAAAAAATAAAATAAACTTACTATTCTTATCCGAAGAATATAGTAGAAATAATGACTCCTAAATTTGTCAAAAATTCAAGCATCTATATAAGAATTTATTTTGAATTATATTTGTCCTATGAACAAGTGAGATTAATCAAGGAGTATTTTAATAAATTTCTATCTGAGTAAGGTTCCTCAAGATAGGATCAATACATTGATTTGAACTGCATAAACATTTTCATGTCTTTTATTTATATATTTTGTGCTTTAAGTTTTATCTTTAGTGTTTTCAAAAGTAATTTATAGCTGTTATCACTCTATCGAACACGTCCACGTGATATATATATTAATATTTCCAATAAAACTCAAGAAAATCTTCACTCAATACCAAACAGGATTTGCATTTCTAGTAGCAAGTATGTACAACATAAAGTTTATAAGTTGTATGTGATAACATATATATTCTTCCCATCACGTACAAGTTATGAAAACTCAATCTCCGACCTCAAATTCATGCAGTGTTTAAAGCTTGAATCCCTACGCATTACATGTTTTAAGATTGTATCACGGCCTGTACGAGAGACCTAATTATTGGGACCTAAAAGGGCTAGCAAAAAAGCTCTGTAGTGTCCTGATGTGTCGGAATGGACGGCATCATTCAAGGTCTTGCCATACTTTTTACGGTACTCCACCTTTATGTATTGCATGTCAATCTCAGCTCTGGTAACCACAATCCTTACTAGTGCAGTGTCATCTGTTCCAAGACCTTTCATTGCCTTCCTCAACGCCTGTTGTTAGAACAAATGTTTTATAAATAATTTATTCATTTTTATACCAGTTGATACACCGAGATGATAATGATGGTGGTAGATCATTCATCTTTTGTGATTTGAATGAAGAGTTACAGTCGGTGATCAAACAATCACGGCCAATATTTTGTTATTCTGTCTCCTTGAGGAAGTAAAAGAGAGATTTGGAACTCATTTTCTTCTCTCAGCTCTCTTTTACGTCTTCATGGAGACAAAAGATCAAAACACTAACTAATAGTTGTTTGTCTAAATCAAAAGAGTTACGACAGAGAGATCTCGAACAAATGTTTTATAAATGAATTATTCTTTTTTATTCTTTTTGATGGAACAAAAATGATTATGGTAATTGTAGATGGTTCATTTGTTGGAGAGTCGTAATCGAGGGGTCAAATGATCTTAGTCTCTATGAGGAGTGGAATAGAGATTTAAAATCCTTTTTTCAATTTATCCCTCTTCTAACTCCTCGTGGAGATAAAATACCTAATTATCCAAATCAAAAGAAATAAATTGTCAACCATCTTGTTCCATCAACGATATTATAAAAATAAAATTTGATTGGAATCTAATAGAATAACTGCAGTTTTTGGCCTCACCTTTGCATAGAACCTTGGTTGGCTTTCAGCACATCTTAATATTGTTTTAAGGGCATATTCAAAGTTCCTGTGAGTTTCATCTCTTATCGTCTTCTCCAATGTTTTCTTGAACATGCTCTTGTAGGCGTCACTAACAGCACAAAGGTGTGCCCTACTTCTTTCACTGAAAACCTGTATGAAAGTCTTCTCCGACAGACTAAATTTCTTAGCCGCTTTGTGTAATGCTTTCGCGTCTTCCTCTACTAACTGTTCATCGTACTCGGGGCCTTCGTAGCGTGACGTTGTTAAAAACGCAAGCAGTAACTGTAAAATCACAGTTAAATGAAGCATGACAATGATCTCAGATAACAAAGATAGCTAGTTAAAAAAAGACCTTTTTATGGTCACCGGATAATTCATCTTCAACGTGGTCTTCGAGATTAGTTCCGACGTTTGTGAAATAAGCTCGCTTAAGTTGTCCGATTTGCGACGGAGTTCGAGAACATATGATTTCGGTCACTGCCTTTTGATCTTTCACGGCTCCTCTCAAAGATTTCTTCAAAATAAAAGAATCGCGTTCTCCTGGTTCGTGCATCCACAGCAATACTGCTTTCTAAGATCATATATATATTTTTTGTGTGCAGATATCAGTCCCTGTTTTCGATTTTTGTAGATTGAAACATGAATATTGTTAATTAATTACCTTGAGATGGCCGTTGAGCTCGGATCTTAAACGTTTCCGAAGTTCATGACCGTATGCGGATTCGTATTCTTGTTCGATGAGGGAGCGTTGCGTGGCATCCCTGTGAGCTAGAATATCGACGATCGCTCCCGCATCACATCCTATTCCTGAAGACGAAGGACATAATTAGGGCAAAATCAAGTGCAAAAGAGAAGAATGGGGAGAAATGAAGAAGAAAAGAATACCTTTGAAGGCGCGGAAGATTTGCATGGCATCTTCACGGTGGGAAGGTGCCACCGGAGGTACTGTTACAGTCGACATTTCTCGTCGTTTCGGAAATCAACAAGAAACAGGAAGAAAGGTAAAGGTGAAGGTGGATATGGATATGCAATAAGAAGAAGGTGAACAGAGGTTGCTTATCCCATGCATTTAGGATTATCCACCAATTTACAACCGCCCCCGTATATATATATATATATATATATATGCTCTTCAGCCTTTTCTATTATTAAACACTCCATATTAATAAAAGCAGCCAGAGATCGCTTATTACAACAAAAATACACTTTAAATTTGAGACTGATTACCCGTTTCTTCTTATTATTAAAAATTAAAAAATAGTCATCCTAATATATATATATATATATATATATATATATTCCAAACTCATCTTTTTTTCATTAAAAGAATTGATGGTCGATTAAAGTGGACGTTAACATGTCGATTAGAATATGATAAAATCTGATCCAAGAATCGTTTGAGTTGTGTTTTGTGTATCAAACTCTTCATTTACATTATGTTGTCGAGTCAGTTACTGAAAGCAACAACGATGCCAGTATATATCATTGTCACAACGGTCCTTCAGGTGGTCCCGAATTTGCATTTCTACTTGAATTAATGTGATGGAGTCGCCACCGATCATTTTGAATTAGGTTGGTCGAACATCTAAAACTTACCATTTACCGAATATGCATCTTACCAGAAATTAGTCGTATTCGGGAGTCGATTACAGTCAAGGAATGATAAACACACTCATATTGCCCTTTCGGTACCAACACGATTACACGATTGTCTTATTTGCGAAATTTTAAATTTAGATTAAAATTTAAATATTCGATCCAAATTACTTACCTTTAATCAATTTTGATATTAAAAATGTCCCTAAAAAATAAAATAATGTTAAAGAAAAATAAATAAATACTGCAAAACAAAAAAATGGGTTAGGGTACCAATTTATAAGAATATAATAAATAAAAACAAGATCAAAAAGGGATTAAGTTGAATTAAACTGAAATTCAAGGGTTAAATTACAAGTAGTGACCAAAATGAATTATGCATCAGAATTTCAGGGACTGCAGAAATAATTTAAATATTTGCTAATTACAAAGAGGCTCCTCCTATAAATAGCCACTAAATTCATTTTTTTCTCATTTTCCATCTCTCTTCAAAAACCATAAAAAAGAACTCTCTCAAACTCTCTCAACTCAAACTCCCCCTCCTAAACCGGCTACTCTCCGACGCCTAGCCCATCGCCGACCGCATGGTGGTCGGAAACCTAAAAAACTAGCCCATAAAAAGCTCTCACTATTCTAAACCTGTTTCTAGCCTCGCTTTAACCCAAAAACCACCACAACAGCGTAGATTTACACCAAAGTTCATGGTTTTTTTACTTTTCATTGGTGTTTTTTCACCTTCCCGGTGACCGCTCGATTTACACAACAAAGCTAAGTCATTTTCTTCTCTTCTTCGATTTTTGGGTGATTTTTTTATGGTGTTCAAATGCTTTTAGGCTTGATGTTTGGTCTATTTTTTGTTTGATTTGCAGGGTTTATATAGTTCGTCGAATGTGGCTTCTTCCCTTAAATTGGTGGACTCACGATCCCGAAACTATTAGGATTTGATTGTTTTGGTTCGGATTGATTTGCATGCTATAAAGATGTTTTCTTTTTGTTCGCTGATTCGATTCTTGTTTCTCTGTTTAGGTTGGATTTGATTTTATTACTATCTTTGATTTGGAAAATTTTCCCAAAAGTGATCTGGAAATGCCTTCTGATATCCTGATGCATTTTCGACAGTTGAATCAAAGAGCCAGATCCAACGGCTCTCGTGCGACTGTGCATGATGATGAATTTTAAGGGATTCATAACCCTAATTTGCTTCAATCTGGTCCCTTGATTTTTGTTCTGATCTTGCGGCTAGGAACGTGTGGTGCTAGAGTTAAGCATGAAACCCTAGTTCGCTGGGTCAAGTAACTTATGCTTCTATTTGGGCTCCAATCATTATACCTTTGTTGGATTGGACTCTATTTTGGAATTGATTTGGACTTTGACCTGGATTTGGACCTAAAAATAAAACCAAAAATAATAATATTAATAATATAGTATATAAATAATAATATTATTATATAACAATATAATAATACTATATATACTACATATAAACTAATAAATACTATAAATTATATATATTATACTCGCCTGAGTCAAACCGGTCTGAATCGAGTCAACTCGCCTGATTCAACCCGGGCTGAGTCAACTCGACTTAGTCAACTTATTGACTATGACCGTTGACTTTGACAAAAAAAAGTCAATTTTTTCAAAAAGTTTTATTATATGTTTTTCGATGTCTTGAGTCTGAATTTAAAGTTCGTTTTGCCAAATTCCAACCAGAAAGCCTTTGAATTGACCTTCAAACTCGAGCATGCATATGTACTTAAGTAATTTGGTTAAGAATAATTAAATTAAGGTTAGATACTTATCAAATATTGTTATTTGAAGGTACACGAGACTCTCCCAATTGCTCGACAGCTCGACCCAGCTCCTCTCGATTCGTTCGACCCCGAGAACCAGTAGTTACACGTATGACCCGCAAACCTTATGATTGCATAGATTAAATATGTTACTCCGCTAGTAACCCAGTTTTATTATGAATTAGGTTTGAGCATTGCTGCAGAGCGTGGTGAAGCATATGCTCAGTAGACACCCTGATCGACCCCGTTTTGCGTGGTGTGTTTCCTATATGCTACATGAATGTTTAGCTGTTTTGAAATGAGTTTCACCGAAATTTATGATTTACTGGTTGATGTCTTATGGACTATGGCTAAATGATATATGTTATCTGATTATTTGTTTTCACTAGAAATATGATTATACCAATTACGGATTCCTATAAATTACTAATTACTATGTAAATAGTTTTATTGAGATATTATTTTGGATAGGATACTGGAGTATGTAGGTTCACCTTTAATAAAGCTGTAATACCTTATGGACCTAAGACGACCCTTGGGTAGGCTCTAAGGCCCCGAGAACTTTTTTGGGTAGACTCTTAGGCCCCAAGGTACTCCTTTAAGATGGCTCCTGTACCCAATGGGTATAAGGTAACCCTTATGGATGCAATTCTGGGGGAATTGCATTTTGTTGTATGGAAGGAGGGTAACTATGATTTTTAAATTCGACTTATCGATGACTTTTACGAAATCTTTCTGAAACACTTATTGATTGTTTTATCTATTATGTTTTATTTGCACTATTGTGACACATTGAGCTCCCTAACTCACCATTTTCAAACTATTTTCCCATTTTCAGATACTTTTGGATAGGCATCCCAAACCAGGCACTTGGAGGATCTACACATTCTTACATAACTTTTTGTTGTAATGTTTTTATCTTTCGAATTGCTTTATTTGCGATGACATGTGCCCTTATTAAGAAATACTTATGTTTATGATTTTCACTGTGATACGAATTATGATGTGTTTTATTTTATTCAGTCACTGACGAATTGATATTTACTCTATGAAATTTTTATCATTTTTAACTATGTGTTATTTTTGTTAGATATTGTTTATAATACGGTTTTAAATTATCAAAAAATGCTTTTGGAAATTTTATTATAATCCGCTAGATCTAGTCGTAACTCATAGGATGAGTCTAGGGGGTTACAGAATCGATCTCTGATGACTTTAGCATGATATCCTTTTTCGTGAAGTTAAAATATAGCTAAATGTCTGGATTGGGAAGTAGCTCCTCGTTGTTGAGTTAATCTAAATCGCAGTTGATTTTGAGTTTTCTTTTAGTCCAATATCTTTCGTCGTGAAATTGAAATTCGACTTGAAGACCTTGATTGTAAATTAGCTCTTCGTTGTCGAGTGAAGTTAAATACTATGTAGCATATACTATATATAATATATATTATATTATCCAAAAACATAAAATGAGTGTCTACAATCATTAAATAGGATTTTATTATATCATAATCAACAAGTTAATGTCGAACTCACAAGGTCATCAATCTTTTAACATAAAAATACGAGTTTGGAGACCAACATATAAATAGTTGAATGACTATTTTATAATTTTTAATAATTTAAAGACCCAACAAAAATACGTCCTACAATCATAAAATCATTTTATAGTTTCTAATAATAAAAAAGCTCAACAAATCCTATAATCGGGATTGTACTTTATCCTTAAAAATTTCTATCGATATCGTGATCTGAAATTCTAAAGAACAATGGACGGATCTGTAAAGGTACTGATTAGCCCAAGGGTCCCTAAATGAAGGATAGCGGCTGCGTTGGGTTCAACCTTCTCGGCTGGCTTTGCCATGTCCACTTTAAATTTGGGTCCAACCCAATTCACCATTGTATGTATGGCCATAACCTCACGTTTCCCTTTCAGATTTTCCTGGAAAACAGACAAGAAAAACAAAAGATAAACCAGGCCAGGATTCTGGCTTGTCCAGCTTTGAATTTCGCAGAAAACAAAAACCAAAATCATACCAAAAAATACACCAGAAAATATGAGTGTTGAATCTTCAAGGTGATCTGTGAAAGAAAAGAAAAAAGAAGCTTAAAACAATTGCATCGATTCTGAAGATCGAAACTTTGCGATGATATTGGTAGCATATATTTTTTTTTCATCATGAAAATGAACCGCAACAGTGGGGTCAAACCCACTAACTTTATCGGGACATAAATTGACCTAACGACCACCTTAATTACTGTCCACTTTTCTTGAGAGTTTTTCAAATTTGTTTGGTTTTTATGATCTCTCTGCATATCCATCTTTTAGGGTAAAGCCAAGTGCATCGCGACAAGCAAGTCAAAACAAGGATATAAAATTTATGCATTTATGGTATATATGCCGTAATAAATGAATATTGTGAGCTATTGGAGTTGTCAATGTAGAGAGGTTGGTAAGGTACTTTCAATATTCATACTGCGAATTCATAAATATATGTTAAGACAGATATATATATATTAACAATATAAAAAAAAATTATGTAAGATAAATATAAATAAAATTTTAAGTGGGTAA